ATAAACTTATATATAAATATACAGAAGTGGTTAGTTTATATGAGTATAATAAATGTATATATTTTTTTTCCTTTCATTGTTTATGCTTTTTTTTTAACATTTAATTTCCCTTTCTCTCACTTCTCTCTATTTATAAATCTCTCCTATACACAATATTAAGATGCTTAAAATTATAATACAACAATAACAAAAAACAAGAGTGTATATATCTAGAATCAAATAAAATTTAATGCAAACCAAATATAAATAGACATTATTCATTAAATAAATAAATTAAAACTCTCAGCCTAGCCATGCACGTGGTGGTGAATGATTCCCAGGGAGTCGAGGACTATATTTTCAGCCAACCTCGATACGTCCTTAATGTCGACACCTAGTTCCTCGAGGAAGCTCCTTGTTCTTTTTGGAATTGTTCCACGAGACCCAAACCAGGCACCATCTATTGATGGAAGGTGGAACCAAAAAATTCCTGTAGTTTCTGGTGAATCTCTTATCTGGGATTCCAAAGTGCAAGCCCTGATCTGCAGGTTCTATATTTCTCATATACACGGTAAAATGAGTAGATAGACACCCCCTACAGGAGAAGTGGCTAGGGAGAGCCAGGAGAAATATGTTGGCAGGCAACAGAAGAGATTCATGAGAATGAAGCGGCAAGAAATATCAACAGGATGAAGTATGTCTGCGAGTATAGGGGAAATTGAGAGTCACATCGGAAGCCCCATTATCTGGAGGTAATAATTATTATTTTAGGAAAAATACGAGCCATCGATACATGAATCTATGGGTTTATGAAATAAAGTTAGTGGAATTTTTGTAACTTTAGTTGTTATTTTCCACCTTTTTAAAACTGATTTTACGGTCACTTCTTTTTTAACATTTGTAGACAGGAAAACCACATCTAGTGATATTAATATGTTATCAAGTAGTATCTTTTGCTTTTCAATAAAATCTTTGAACTGGAATGAATTTTTGATATTCAATTCATTTTCTATTTTTGCTTTACTTAAGATACCAGCTATGAATTTTGCAAAGCTAGAAGTTGCAGAATTTACAAAGGAGACTATTGGTCGTAAAGGAATTGTGGCTTTGTGTATTTTAGGGAGTCTATAAATTTTAGGCGGTAGGACATTATTAGTATATATTCTGTTGTTTTGATCAAACTGTATTAATTCTAGATTAAATAAAAGTTTTGCTATTACATTGTTTTTCTTTATGAGATTTTGGGTAGGGTCTGAGATTTTCTTATAATACAGTTTATTATTTATCATTTCATTCATTTTGTTTAAATAATCTGGTTTATGTATTGCAACAGTGATGTCTCCTTCATCTGCTGATGTGACTAATACATCTGGGTTGTTCAACAAAAATATTTTTGCAGCTTCAATTTCCCTATCAATCTCCTTTTTCTAATATCTGATATTAGCTTGATTTTTGCAAACATTAGTGGCGGTATTAATTAACTTCAGTCTTAGTTCATTCTGTCTTAGATCTTCTTTTTTTAATGTCCGTATCATATATTCAACATCAGACAGGAGATGTGGTATTCTACCCAAGATATTTTTATTGTTAACTTCATAATTAAATTTAGGTCCTAAGGCTAAAATGTTCTGTATGTTTTTTTCTGTGAGGTTTAGGAACGCAGTGGTTTGGACTCCGGGATCGGGGTGCACGTTGTGGCCTTCAGTAGCTTTATGTCCTTGTGGCGGTACTGTTGGGTCTGTCAGCGTGCTGCCCGGCTTGGGGTATCGATGATCAATTAAAATTAAGAAAATTTTGGATTGTTAGACCAATGATAGGTATTGTTTTTCCAGAACTGAAGAGGGTCCCATTATTTAAATTAAAAAAAAACAGTGATAGAAAAGTTTGAATAAAAAGATTAAACAGATGTTGTTTTAAATTATTTAAGTGTATTTCATGACCTATTATCTGACTATAATTGATACCTTAAGTTTTATACATATATATATATATATAATTATAATATTTATACATATATAACTTACGTTAAAAAAAGGTCTTCAAAAAGTAAAATAGGCATTATATAGAATATTCAGCCCCTAGAAAGATTAGTCCACTGGAGAAATATATTATTAAGAGGCTGTAGGTGGGACTTGCACTCAGTAAATACACTGATGGACAAAATTAACACACCAATTGCCGTTAGTTTAAAATTAAATCAACATTATAAATTTTGTTGTTAACAATAGTTCTATTTATCAAGGGTTCTTTGCTTAATTGATATAGATTTTCAGATTAACTTGATGCTTAATTATTTACATTTTATGCTATGTTTAAATAAAAAGTTGTTGAAGTAATAACTGTAATTATTTCCTTGAAATAATTAATAATTAATGATATAAATTAACATTGTTTCTAATTTATATTTATCTTATTATTAGTAATTATGAGTATCATTGCCAAAATAAAATGTAAAATGATGCTTTATATGAACACAGGCCAATGATGAAAAACCTTTTTTATGAAAATATATTTTTTTAATGGTTTTTAGTGCAAGAAATTCGAATATGACTCTTAAAAAGTTATAAGATCCACAAGTTTTTCATATTTCTAAGTTAAATTATTGAATAAATTTTTAGTTTTTAACAAATTTAATTGCATTTTATATATTACTTAAAATGTCATAAGTACTTCGGATACAGTTAAAGTCATAATAAATAGTTCTATTGGAGATTTATATAACTATCTAAAACATTATAAACAGTTCTAGTGGGTTGGCAGCATTGTTTGCTGACATTCAACAACCCTACTTTTATTATTAAGTGCATGTGCTCAGTGTAATGTCTAGACATGGTTGTAAAAACGTTGTTAACAGTTTCTGTTATATTTGTGGTGAGTATGTGATAAAAAAACATCAAAGAAACATGACAGAGTATGTGAAGAAAGCATATCTCGCATATTTTAGTGTTCAACTCGGTGATCAAGCTAAATCTTGAGTGCCATATACGGTTTGTTGTGTGTATGTTGAAAATCGTAGGAAATGGTCAAAAAAGTAGGTCAAAAAAGAAATGGTCAAGCCTTCCGATTTTATATTCCAGTGATATTTCAAGGAACCATTCTGATGATTGTTACTTTTGTAGTATTGATGTTACTGGATACAACTCAAAAAATAAAAAAAGTAATAAGGTAACCTAACCTTCCTTCTGCTATTTGACCAGAAGATCATAGTCCAGATCTACCTGTCCCTAAACCACTAGAGAAGTTTGATGATGTAATCTTAGACTTAATTCAGATTCTGATTACTAGAATCAATGTACAATACAAAATGAAGAACTTAAGTTGTTCACTTAAACCGAGCTAAACGATTTGGTTTGGGATTTAGGTTAAACAAAAGAAAAAGATGAATTGCTTGATTCTAATTTAAAAGAAAAGAACTTGCTGGCAGTAGAAACCTTTTTTTTTTTTTTTTTTTTTTAAATTATCCCCTACCCACCATTTCTGGCATACAAAGAGGTTTGTTCTAGAGGTACAACCAAACCTATTATAACCAGAGTGGGAAGATTGAGGTCTTTTTCGTGGGTCCTCCACAAAATAAAAGTCAACTCTTCCCAGGCAGGATTCGAGCCGCCAATGCTAGGCACGAGAATGCTACAACAGACAATACTCCAACTCTCTCGGCCATCATGACCTTGCTGGCAGTAAGAACCAACATTCATGCATATAGAAAAAGAGAGAAACAGTTTCTTAGTTTTTTAAACAAAAACATGATTTAGTATACTGCTCAGTATATTACAAACAAAAGTGAATGAACTGCCCCAAAATTGCGTCCAAACATGGCTGACTGACGACTTTGACTTTAGTTAGATTTTTGTTCACTGAGAATCAGCATTTGGCTTAATTTCGTCATAGTTGGTCTTTTATTAAAGCTGGATAGTCAGAGAATAATAAAACATGAAAAAATATTAAAACATAATAGGCTTAGGCAATAAAAAACACCAGTAAAGTCAATTTTTTTAACAAAAACATTTTCAAGTTGAAAATCAAGCGTCGTTTGTATTTAAACGGCCAACAATAGTGCAAAACGTGCTGGAATAAAACATCTGGAGAATATAATTTCTCTTTCTAAAACACTGATTACTTTTTAAATTATTTGAAGCGGTTTCATAGAAAATAAACATAAGCGGCAGAAAAGCGGTACTGGCGTGGATGCCTACAGGCCTCTACCACACCATTCAGTGCTCATAAATGGCTTAGTTATAGTGCTATAATAACGTTTTTTGTACATTATATTGATTTTATTAACGAACAAATATTAATGCAATAATTTAATTGTTCAAAATATTTTTTATTTTAATTTATTATTTTATTTTAATTTCCTTTATTCTATACAGAGGTCGTTTAAGAAGGCCTCTATTGTAATAATGATATGATTATAATAATAAAACTTAATTAAAAATACATTGCTGAATATCTTGAATTTTTTATTTAATGTTTGTAATTTAACAATTTGTTCTGTATATTTGATGATTCTTAGAGGTAATTTAAATTGTATATACTTCCCCGGAAATGAGTCATATTAATACCTGTTTTATAAACTAAAATAATATATACCTAATCTGAACTACTACTAAAAAAAATACATTAGTAGTTCTTGGTTTATTATTCTCTGACTACCCAGCTTTAATAAAAGACCAACTATGATGAAATTAAGCCAAATGCTGATTCTCAGTGACCAAAAAACTAAATAAAGTCAAATTTGTCAGTTGGCCATGTTTGGACGCCATTTTGGGACAGTTCGTTCACTTTTTTTGTGGGAACATTGGCTTTTTTTAAATAAATAGTTACAAGGAACACAATAATATGCAATTTATAGGGATGACCCACAGACTATTAATCTAATCTATCAGATTTGGGTTGTTAAAGAGGTCACTGAAGGTAATGGTAGACAATTGGGGTGTTCATATTGAACCTTGGAGTTTGTCTAAGTCTTGTTATTATAATTACTTATAAATTTATGTTTTTTTTTTTCATTTATTTTTCAGGAGAGAGCTGCAGAAATTGGGTTCGATTTATGTACTTACTCTTCTAAAGATCATGTTGTACAAAATATTTCATTAGGTGCTGAGTATTTTCATGTGGAATTGAATGATGATGAAGAATTATTTTGTGAAATTTCACCACATTCAAACTTTCCATTAAATTTTGGCAGGTTGGTTTATTAAATATTTATTTTATCCTCATATAAATTTTAAGAATGAGATGTCAAATAAAATTATTATTACAGCACTGACCAGTTTATAACAAAATTATTTAGAAATTTTATTCATTTTGGTGCAGTTTTCTACTTAATTAACCGTTCCAACACTCCTCTTGAATTATTCCTAAAATCCTTCTTCAGTCTTCATTTATGTCCTTCCAAGTCAGTATCCAAATAGTTTCTTCTTATATTATTTGATATTTCAAATGTTTAGTAAGGATGAGTTTAATGGTTATAGGTATGATTATTATGAAAGTTTTTTCTCACTTCCGTATTATCGTATTTATTTATTTTGTCTAATGTTTTTGGCTCTTTGCCCATCCTCAGAGACAAGTTTTAAAACTGCTAGTGGTCTTCTATCCATCTTATATTATTATACTGCATGTCAGAAAACACATGTATATTCGAAATTACATTTAAATAAGTACATGCTTAGTTGGATACAATGTGGCAATGGAAATTATCCAACTTTTTCTCCATGTGTCCTACAATGAATTACTTCCCACTATCCTACAATCCCACACTAATGATTATGGTCCTAATAATATTCCAGTAAAACTAATAAAATCCAGCCTTCTTATTCTTTACCATATCTACAACTGTTTGTGTGAAAATAGTTCCAAATTTCCTCATTATGGCAAATCAGAAGATCTAAAAGATAACGCTTAATCTGTACGAGTGATTGTGCACTCAGCTGCAAACCAGCACAGATAGTCAGAGAAGGCAGATGATCCGAGGACGCCCTCATGTAAAGAGATGTTTTAAGCTGTCATAAAAACGGTAAGCTGTTTTTGCACAATTCGTATAACCTACCATTTCATTAAAATACAGTCCACTGCATAAAAAAGTAGAATGTTGCCCATAATTTGATTATTGGCTATTAAGAACTCATGAGAGTTATTTGCCTTGCGATAATTTAAAATTTGGAAACTTGCCTAAACAAAAACTTTTCATTGCAAAACTCCATATTTCCATCCTCCTGGAAAACTGCCCTAGTCCAACCTCTGAATAAAATTTCCAACCCTACCTCACTGCACAACTTCCATCTTATTTCTGCACTATCCAACCTTTCAAAGCCGTTAGAAAATCAAATCTCCAACTTCCTAGAGGAACGTTTCCTTATCAACCCATTCCAATCTGGTTTTTGACCTGGCTACTCAACGCAATCCGCTCTCCTTAAAATAATCTATGACCTCCAAAACTCCATTGAACACCAAAACCTTACTATCTTCATCCTTCTATATTTTTCCAAAGTGTTTGACACAGTTGACCATAACATCCTCCTTACTAAATTGTACAATCTTCCTCTATCCAACAGAAGCCTACGGGTTTCAAGGGGAAATAGATGACGAGATTAATTTAGACGTTTTAAGGTGGAAATGATATGGCAGGAGATATTGGATACATGGTTTTCCAGGAAATCATTTGATTAAAGGTTATTCCAAGGTTTTTGATAGAGGGATAAAATTTGATGGAATCATCATGTAGGAACAGAGTTGGAATATTAGAAACAGTTTTAAGGAGGTGATTGGAGCCTATTAAGATTGCCTTCATCTTTTCCGCATTCAACTTCAACTTGTTAGCTCTCGCCCAGTCACAAATCCTATCCATGTCTTCTTTAAGTTTTTATGTGGCTGATAATAGGTCGGAGGGCAGGAAGGACAGGTACATTTTGAAATCATCTGAATAGATATGGTTTTGGCAGTGATGGGTCAGGAGGAGAAGGTCATTAATGTAAATAGCAAACAGAGTAGGAGATAGAGAGGAACCTTGAGGGACACCACAGGAGAAGGGTAGGGTCTTAGATGGAGGTTGACCTAGGACGACTACATTCTGGGACCGATTTGAACCAATGCAGGGCACTGTTGGATAGAGAAAGATTTTGCAATTTAGTAAGGAGGATGTAATGGTCAACTGTGTCAAACGCTTTGGAAAAATCTAGATGGCTCCTAGTCACTTCCTTAATTTTTCCCCACTTTGACTATTTCTGTATGGTATATGGGGGGATCTCGAGGCGAAACTAAATTGCTTGATAAATTTCTTTGTATGATTCATCTTCGGAATCCCAAGGGATGCCTCTGTTTCCCGTTTTTATGCAAAGTTGAAGTGGCTTTTTCCTTTCTACGGTCGTAAGTATTTCCTAGCATCCTTCCTCTTTCAAGTCATCCAATCCTCCCATCCTTCATACATCTCAGAGCTCCTTCAATTCAAATCCTCTGTTTGTTCCCACAAACTCGTTCCCGGTTTTCTCATTTATACATAAGGGCCCACAAAACTGCTGCTTTCGACAGATCGTTCATTATCCGATCCCCATCCCTATGGAACTCCATCCGTTCCCACATCCGTCAATCCAATACCCTACCTACCATTAAATCCTTCCTGTTTAATTATTTCTTATCCACCCAGTCCCCATAAAATTGTAATTAGATACTACTTTAAATATGTATATAAATTATTAGATCGTTCTTCATTATTTTTTATTATTAGCTGATTAAAATTAGAAAGTAACTGATAATTTATTAGTTTAAGTAACTGATTATGACTATTTAATTACTCTGTATTTTTTTTTATTGTATCTCTGAGGCTCCTTAGCCCACATTTCTGTCCCTTTGTAATATTCTAAAGGGACTCGTCCCAGAATAGACAAAGTATTATTATTTAGGGAAATCTCTTGTTTCACAGCATTTGCTGGTTACAGCACATTACCCGGACTTAAAGTCAAGGGTAGGCTAAACAAATTAATCTGTTGCATTCATAAATTTTTGAGGACAAACGCTCTAACCTTCCAATCAATTATAAAAGACTGATTTACATGACTATAATAAGGCCTATTTGGACTTACGGGGTTGAGCTATGGGGCTCCACCAAGCCTTCAAATTCCTCTCGCATACAGTCCTTGCAATCCAAAATCCTTCGTAAAATCCTCAATGCTCCTTACTTTGTTACAAATAAAATTATCCATAATGACCTTAATGTTCCTTATGTATCAGATTTGGCCCAATCCAGATATCTGTCCTTCCATAATAAACTTCATAACCATCCCAACCCTCTTGTCTCTAACCTTGCTTCCTATTCGATTCCTGATAACCCTCCGAGGCGTCTGAAAAGAAGATGGCCACGTGATCTTCTAATATAGACATATTATTAGAGTGCTACCAATGGGTAGTTTCTCAACATGTGTTCCATGTCTTTATACCAATGTGCAAATTTACTAGATGTATTTTTTTGTATACAGTTGTAAATATCATTTAAAATAAATAAAATAAAAATTTTTGAGCAATACTAACTGTTAACTTATGAAGGTTATCATCCGATGGCACCCCTATTTCGATAATCTTTGCATGGCTCTCATTCTTCAAAACAAACAAAATATCAGGCCTGTTGTGTGGAATAATAATACTTTATTTACTCTGGGACGAGTCCCTTTAGAATAATACAGAAAGACATAAATATGGGCTAAGGAGCCTTAGAGATACATAAATAAAAATACAGAGTAATTAAACATGTCATAGTAAAAAAATGAAAAATTATAAGTTACTTTCTAATTTTAATCAGTTAATAATAAAAAAAAATTGAAAAAAAAAAGATGAAGTAAAAATAATGAAGAACGAACTAATAATTTATATACATATTTACATTAGTATCTATTTACAATTTCATGGGGACTGGATGGATAAGAAATGATTGAACAGGCGGGATTTAAAGGTAGGAAGGGTATTGGATTGACGAATGTGAGAGGGATGGAGTTCCAAAGGGATGAGGATCGGATAATGAAAGATCTGTCGAAAGCAGCGGTTCGGTGGGCCCTTATGTATAAATCAGAAGACCGGGAACGAGTATTGCGGGAACGAACAGAGGATTTGAATTGAAGGAGCTCGGAGATGTATGAAGGACGGTGGGATTGGATGACTTGAAAGAGGAAGGATGCAGGAAATATTTACGACGGTAGGAAGGATAAAACCACTTCAACTCTGCATAAAAATGGGAAACAGAGGCGTCCCTTGGTATCCCGAAGATGAATCGTACAAAGCAATTTATGAAACGTTTTAGTTTCGCCTCGAGATACCCAGAGACGCCCCCATATACCGTACAGCAATAGTCAAAGGGGGGAAAATTAAGGAGGTGACTAGGAGCCTACGGGGTTCAAATGGAAATAGTGTGGTATGTTATAATGGTTTGGTCCCAGTATAGCCTAACGTGCTGTTTATCATGCTGTGATGATCGATTGTGGTCTATACTTGTAATAAGGACAAGTATCGTCTAAAATTCCAAATTTCTTGGCTAATTCTTGATGAACAATCTTAGCCATGTTGTTGTGTCTTAGTAGATATTTGTTTCCAGGAAGCACTTGACATCCTGATATGATATGCTGAATTGATTCTATTGCTGTTTTACACGGTCGACACAATTCAGCTACAGCTTTTCCACAAATATGGTGCCTATAGGCCTTTGTAGCGATGACCCTTGAAATGAATCCTTCCGTTTCAGGAAACAATGTACCCCAACATAGCCACATCAGAGACGCATCCTTATCTACTCCTGCTGCCATTAAACTATGGTAAAATCTTTCATAAAGCTCTTGATTTATTGGTGGAGGAAAATTTTCATGTTGAAGATTTAGAGCTGTATAACCAAAGTCCAGCGCCCCAATAGCTGAGATGACCCCAGATGAATTATTTGCTTTAAAATAGTTACGGAGTTTCGCTTCTTCCTCGCGTCATGCTTTTAATAAAATTGGAAGCCCTCATCCTCCCTCTTTTCTTGATAGATTCATTCTTACAACGAACGAATTCAGATTTCCTAGAGTTTGTCATTAGCACTCTTAGATAAGAATCTATAGTATCTAGATCTGTACTGGTCCATTTTAAAATGCCAAAGGAATAGAATAAAGCTTGAATTGTCAGGTTGTGACGGTGACTTCCCGCCTCTGGGACATTATCCTGCATGAGAAC